AGTCCAAATCTATTTAACGCTGTCTATTGTGGAATCACCCTAAAGACACAAAAAAGTCGTTTTAGTCGATTTATATTCCAAGAAAAATTGGATTTGTTTTTTATTTTAACAAAAATATTTTACAGATTTTTAAATAAAAATTTTTTTTTAATAATAATCCTTTTCGAAGGGTTAAAGTTGAAATATTTAGAAATAATTAAATTTCAAAAGATATTATTAATTTTCAAACAATTATTAAATTTTACAGAACTAAAAATAATTTATCTAACAATTTTTGGAAAACATTTTTTAAATTTAATTAAATTTTCAAAGATTTTAAATTGAGATTTTTGAAATTAATTGAAACTTTAAGTGTTTTGTAATTAAAATTTTAGATGATTTCACTAAAAATTTATTAGAAAATGCGGACAAAATAGAATAATTTGAAAATCATTTTTAATTGCAAAATGGTTTCAGATAGTTGAAATTTCAAAGAATATTATTAAAATAGTTAAAAATAATTGAATTTCCTTAGAGTTATAATTGAAATTATTAAATTTCAAAAAAAAAATTTTCGATGGAAAATTTTAAAAATAATTAAATTTTAGAGGCTTTTAAATTCAAATTATTAAAAATTCAATCAATTTTGAATTCAAATTTTTGAGAATAATGAAATTTTATTTGATTTTAAATTTGGAGAATAATTGAATTTCAGTTCATTTTGAATTGAAAATTTTGGGAAATAATTGAATTTTAATTGAAATTTTGGATAATAATTTAATTTAAGTTCATTTTTGATTGAAAATTTGGATAATTAATTTTGAATAGAAATTTTAGAAAATAATTGAATTTTATTTCATTTTAAATTGAAAACTTGGTAAATAATTAAATTTTAAATTGAAAATTTTGGAAAACTATTGGATTTTTAATTGATTTTGAATTAAAATTTCGGGTAATAATTGAATTTTAGTTTATTTTGAATTGAAATTTTTAAAAAATAATTCAATTTTATTGTGATTTTTTTTTTTAAATTATAAACAATTGTTCAATTTCATAAAAATTTTAATTGGAAAATAATTTTGATATAATTGAATTTGTGATGTATTTCATTAAAATTATAAAAAATAATTAATTTAGTGAAGAATCATTTTAGTTCAAAATTTATTAAATAATTGAATTGAAGAAGATCTGAAGAAGATCTACATTTTATACTAAAAAATGTATTTTATTTACATTTTTTTTCAAATGTAAAAAAAATGTCACATTTTATTAAAATAAGTCGATAAAAGTCGTATTTTTGAAAAAAGTCGGAAAAATTCGTATAATCCGAGGCCTGTAAACATATAATTTTCATTATTATCATTTAATATGTAATAATATTCTAATAAATTAAATTATTATTGATAATATTAATTTTTAATTTCTTTATAACAAATAATTAAATACTCAATTAGGCGCGCTTGAGCGCGATTAATTTTGCTAGTTTGCAAAATAAAAAATGAAATATGTCACAAATTTTTAAGTGAAATATTTTGAAAAGATTATTCATTAAAATTCTAGAAATATCGAAAGGAAATATTTCTAAATTGTTAAAAATACATATTTAGGCAATAAGATCCGGATATATTTGTGAAAAATAAAAAAAATGAATTACAGAAATAAATTGCGGTAGTGATTGTGAAAATATGTGACAAAATTAGTTAACCGATAGTAAACCTTTATAAAAGAAAAAAATTTTCGATAATAATGCCTTAAATTATAACTTACAAATGAATCTTAAATTTAACATATCTCAAAATGTCTTAAATCGACGTATGCCGTCTTTCCGGCGATCGGTTCATATGTACCTTTTGTCATTTGCAATTTTAGACAAATTAAATTTTAAGCATTTGAATACTCTGAAAAATAGAAATGTCAAAGAGAAATTTCATGGGGCGAAAAATTCGCGGCGACAAGCAAAACTAGCGAATAAGCGTCTGTCGCTGCAAAGCTGTATTTTTTTTAGCTTTTTAGCGATTGTCATCAAACGTTGTTTTTTTACGTGTTATTTTATTTTAACTATAAACAAATATAATGAAAATTAATTTCAATAATTTTTTTCTTTTCATATTTCCCTTTTTTTCCACGATTTTTAAATTAAAAAAATTAAAAAAATGAAACTCATGACATTTGACATTCAGGTTATTACAACAAATTTTTAATCGCCGCTGCGTCAAGTTAATTTACCGCATGTTTGTATATCGCCAAATCGCCGAGAATTTTTCGCCCCATGAAAATCAGCCTTTATCAAATGACAATTCTGCGAAATAAATTTTTTGTTCTATAATAATTATGCAGTAAATTAAGAATTCAATTAAAAAGTTACGAATATTGAAAGTCCAGTCAAGTAAAATTTGTAACAAATTGACTTTTATAGTATATTCTTGCGTACCTGAGCGGATCTTATTTATTTTAAGTATTCTATTTTTATACTTACTGTTCATATATATTAATCATGTTTCGCTTGTTGCATCTTACGTGTAATAATTTCTTTATAATAAATAAATTGTCACTATTTAACTAAATACACAAATTTTGTCACATATTTTCACAATCACTACCGCAATTTATTTCTGTAATTCATTTTTTTTATTTTTCACAAATATATCCGGATGATATTGCCTAAATATGTATTTTTAACAATTTAGAAATATTTCCTTTCGATATTTCTAGAATTTTAATGAATAATCTTTTCAAAATATTTCACTTAAAAATTTGTAACATATTTCATCTTTTTATTTTGCAAATACTAAAAAATAATATGTCAGTAATTTTTCATCCTCACATTTCCTGAACATTTCGCTGAAATTTTTCGTACAATCGGAACTGCAATATTTCTTATAGGCGGACATTTCATTGAAATATTACGAATCTTTCAATGAAATATTCAGGACAAATTCAGGAAATTTTATGCGCTGTGTGGGTAATTGTTGTCGTTCACGAAGAAACGTCTGTCGGTGAACTTTGTAAAACTTCGTAAATCTCCGTTAAATGGACAAAGCCAAGTAGCACGGAATATTGCTTGAATGTCAATGTGATATCAATTGGGAATATTCCTGTGACATTCAGGCGATATCATAATGTCAACTTCACGAGGACATTCCACGGTGATATTCGCATGGCATTCGTTTGATACTGAGGGAATGTTCTCGTTAAATTTGTGAGATATTGAGGTAATATTTCTCTGATATTGAGGTAATATCTCTGTGATATTGAGAAAATATTCCTGTAATTTATAAGATTCTAAAATGTTAATTGTTTTGATTGTTTTGAATATTTAAATAAATAAATAAATGGAAAAAATTAGAAATTTTTTTTTAGAATTTTATAAATTATCTCATCAATATGACTGGAATATTCCCTTATATTCAATATCACAGGGATATTCCCTCAATATCACACAAATTTCACGGGAATATTTTCTCAGTATCATACGAATGTCACGCGAATATCACAGGAATATCACCGTGGAATGTCCCCGTGAAGCGGACATTACGATATCGCCTAAATGTCACAGGAATATTCCCATACTTGATATCACCCTGACATTTAATCAATATTCCGTGCTACATGGGAAGATTCACGAAAGCGTGCATGAAGTTTTCTAGCCGATAGGTAATCTTCGTGAATTTCTGTTGCAAGGGAAACAGATATAGGCCGGTTTGCCCCACAGGCCCATTTCGTCAATTAAGACCTGTATAAAAAAAATGCTTAGTAAAATCATGATCAAATAAATTAATAAATAATCATAAATCATGATAAATTTAACTGAGGCATGCACCTTTTAAACCTAAAAAACAATTTTAATAAATATTACACGATTTTCTCACAAATTGCTTATGAACAGATCCATTGCATTTCTTAACGCTTATTTTATTAATAACATTCAGCGATATCATAATGTCCGCTTCATGGGGACATTCCACAGTAATATTCCTGTGACATTCGCGTGATAATCTTATGATACCGAGGGAATATTCCAGTGAAATTCATGTAATATTGAGGGGATATCCCTGTGATATTTAATGGAATATTCATGTGATATTGAGGGAATATTCCTCTGATATTGAGGGAATATTCCAGTGATATTGATAAAATAATTTAAAAAATTCTAAAAAAAAATTTTTTATTTATTTTTTTATTTAAATATTCAAAACAATCAAAACAAACAACATTTTAGAATTTTATAAATAACAAGAATATTCTCTCAATATCACAGGGATATGCCCTCAATATCAGAGAAATATTCCTTCAATATCACAGGGATATCCCCTCAATATTACATGAATTTCATGGGAATATTCCCTCGGTATCATATGAATATCACAGGAATATCACCGTGGAATGTCCCCATGATATCGTCTGTATGTCACAAGAATATTCTCGCTTGATATCACCTTGCCATTCAAGCAATATTCCGTGCTACTTGGGTATGAATGTCACGCGACTGTCATAGGAATATCACGTACCGTGGAATGTCCCAGTGAAGCAGACATTATGATATCGCCTGAATGTCACAGGAATATTCCCGCTTGATATCACTGTGACATTCAAGTAATATATATTCCGTGCTACTTGGAAGAAGTTTTTTTTTACTTGAACCCTCTTTTTTCATTTACCAAATATTTTAATCTGAAATCATTTTTTATTTCAGAGAAAGTTTTGAGAATTCTAAAAATTGTCTTATTTATACGGCCTTAAAGAGAATTTCACTTTTATTGTTTAAATATAATTTTCTAAATTTTATCTATACGATTTTTGAAAAAATTATTAAAATTAAGGAAGAACATTGTTTTTTTGTAACATTAACAAAAAATTATTTTGATTGTTAATAACTTTTAAAAAATCACTTACAGGTTTTTATAGTACCATCATAGACTATCGAAACATATATGCTGAATAGAAAAAATTAAGACTCAATAAAAATTATGCCCCTAAAATAAAATAATTGAGGGTCTCCTATTTTTAGCAGACATTAAACATTAAACATTAAACAAACTTTATTATCTGAACATAAAAGAGTTTATTTTAAAGAGAATCTCTTTAAGAGAATAAAATATACAACAGTAATATATTTTCTAGTAAACTGACATAGGATTTTTTCATGCGCATGAAAAAGTACATTTACATTTTTAATAAACAAATTGTTTAGCTAAATATCATTAACACATTATATTTTTAACTTACACAGAATACATTTCCTAAGTAGATTAAAGAAAAATATATAATTTATCTTTCAAAAAGCTATTTATTAAAAAAAAAACATGATACTTGATTTATTTTTATAAGAGATAGGAATAAAACCGAATCCCGAAAACCTTCAGAAGATTTGTAACAATCGCTTATAATTTTAAGCAACTCAGAAGATTCAATCTCCTTCCATCGTGAGGTGCAGAAGTTACACACAAATTTCTTTTATTGATAAACTATGTTCATCATCTTGTCAACTTTCACTTTTGTCTTCGTTTTTTTCCTCTAAATGATTCTTTTCCATTTCTTTTAACTCTATTTTCTGCTCTTTCATCGCATTCTAAAAACATCATTTTATTACTTCATAATATATTATCTGGAAAATTGTTTTATAATTGAGGGGCAGCATTCCATAAGGGGTTATAGATGTCCGAGACGTCGCAGAGTTGGCCCCTAGAATAAATTTTGAGCGGCCGGGAAGAAGAATTCGCCGAGCGCTCGGCTGGCCTCTATGTTGACAGTCAAACACCCAAAAATGCAGATAAAATTAAAATTCGAAATTTTGATTTTTGAAAAGAACTACCTCGTAGGAAATAAAGAGGCGCATCTTTTTTTCCTTTGAATTTTTCTTTTCAAACGAATAGTTTAATTAATAATTTTAAAAAACTGATAAATTTTAATTTTAAAATTTCATTCAATTTTTAAACATAAATCGTCGTATCTTTGTCAAATCTTAATTAATTTGATTGGAATTTTGCATACACACGCGTTAGGGTCCATTGAAGACAAAACCATAAAATAAATATTAAAAAAGTTTAATTGTTGAACAATTTTTTATCATAAACAAATACCTGTCGGTAAAAACGCACACTTACCTTTGCCGACAAAAAGTCTGCGGGGAAGTTCAAAGTTGAAAAAACTTCCAGTGAGACATTTGCGTATAACAACATAATGAAATGAAGTTTTCTGGAAAGTGTCAAACCAATTCATTGATTAGTTTAAAAAATATTGAAGATTTAAGATTGCACGCGTGGCGCGCTAGCAAGTCGCCGAACCGATGCACTCAATAAAAGATGATTAGTTTCTTACAACTTTTTCTTGTACATTTCATTATTATTATAAATTAATAATTATAAATTATATAATTAAAAAATAAATTTATCGTTTAAAAATTAAATTAAACAATTGAATTTACTCTTTCCATGATAAACTTATTTTATGTAAAAGTTCATAAATTTGTTTCATAAAAATAGGAATAAAATGTTTTATTTTAACACTAAAACACAATTTTGATTTATTATTAATAGTTTGTATTAATTATTTAAAAATAAAATAAAAATAAGTTTAACATGGAAAGAATAAATTCAATTGTTTAATTTAATTTTTAAACAATAAATTTATTTTTTGCAACACTAACCTCTAAAGTTAAATTTTACACACAGAAAAGTGTGTGTAAAGAAGATGTTTTTAAAACGGTGTGTAAAGTGATTCACTTTACGCACCGAAATTTATCTCACATAATATAAGGATTGTTTTAGACCATACAAAACCAAAAAATTGAAAAAGGAACTTTACTTTTAACTTTATACACTACTGCTTAATGATATTTTTCCTGATTTTCGATAGATTTTTTTAATTCTATACAGTCGAAATTATTCTAACAGAGAGTTGGAATTCTTCATAATAGATACTTAACTTTAGAGGCGGGTGTTGCAAAAAATGTTGTATGATACACGTGCGTAAATCTGATTATACTCGTATGATTTGCATCACTCGGCTTCGCATCGTGCTGAAAAATTGTTAATTTACAATAATAATGAAATGTACAAGAAAAAGTTATAAGAAACTAATCATCTTTTATTGAGTGCATCGGTTCGGCGACTCGCTAGCGTGCCACGCGTGCAATCTTAAATCTTCAATATTTTTTAAACTAATCAATGAATTGGTTTGACACTTTCCAGAAAACTTCATTTCATTATGTTGTTATACGCAAATGTCGTCGTATCTTTGTCAAATCTTAATTAATTTGATTGGACATCTACTACATCTACTACATCTTAAATTAGGAAACAAATTCTGTTGTTTAAATATTTAATTTACAAACTAAAAAATAATTTTCATGAACTTTTAGAGAGTGATATTTTTCATTAACAGATAAAATTTCATTTTAAAAGTTCATAAATCACTTAAGCAACAATTAAAATGAACTTTTTTTAATATCACAGTAAAAAACAATAATGTATTTGTTATAAACAAATAAGTTAATAAATTTTTAAAAGTTGATGAATTTGGCTGAAATTAATTACTTGGGGGTTTTCGAGGTCGCTGATTACGAATATGACATTAGTTTTTCAAAATTCAAAATGGCAGATCTAAAATGGCGGACCATTTCTTTAAATTTGCCTAAAACCTGTTACTTGGGGGTTTTCAGTGTCGCTGATTACGAATATGATATTAGTTTTTTAAAATTCAAAATAACGGGTCCAAAATTCTATCTCGGGCGATAGCCAGTGTTTCATTGAACCTAAATGGCTTTGGTTTTTGTGTTTTGGATTATTCTTCTATCAATAGTCATCAACGTAGATACAATACGTCTTTTTTCTATGATATTTTAATGGTGAAAAAGTAAATCAATAAATTTGTTATAATAACTAAAAAAATTATTTTCCTACAGTTTATGTATGTTATATTAAGCTCAAAAATGTAGATGAATATATTCTTTAGAGATAAAAAAATTATAGGAAATAGCTTTATTTTGTTACGTGAGGTAAATGTCACACATAGATGCTAAAGAGATTAACAAACAATATCTCAATTATTTTTTTTTTTTGATAAAAATATGTAATTAAAAAGGACTTTATGATTTTGAATATTTAGCTATCGCCCGAGATAGGATTTTGGACCCGCCATTTTGAATTTAAAAAACTAATATAATATTCGTAATCAGCGACCCAGAGAACCTCCAAGTAACAAGTTTGATGCGAATCCGACTAATTTAATAAAATTTTGGTCGCCATTTTGGACCTGTTATTTTGAATTTTAAAAAACTAATATCATATTCGTAATCAGCGACACCGAAAACCCCTAAGTAACAAGTTTTAGGCAAATTTAAAGAAATGGTCCGCCATTTTGAATTTTGAAAAACTAATGTCATATTCGTAATCAGCGACCTCGAAAACCCCCAAGTAATTAATTTCAGCCAGATTCATCAACTTTTAAAAATTTATTAACTTATTTGTTTATAACAAATACATTCATGTTTTTTTACTGTAATATTACAAAAAAAGTTCATTTTAATTGTTGCTTAAGTGATTTATGAACTTTTAAAATGAAATTTTATCTGTTAATGAAAAATATCACTCCTCTAAAAGTTCATGAAAATTATTTTTTATTTTGTAAATTAAATATTTAAACACAGAAAATTTTTGCCAAATTTAAGATGATTAATATGTAGTCGATTACTTAACCTTTAATTTAAAAAAAAATTTATTTAAATTCGTTGAAATTTGCGATCTCTACATTGCATTTATTCTAGGGGCCAACTCTGTGACGTCTTGGACATCTATAACCTCTTAAGAAATGCTGCCCCTCAATTGTAATTATGTTTAAAATGTGCGTAAGAACGGTAAGAGGGGTCTGAGAGAGAGAAACGAGCGTTGAGAGGATAGCGTCTTGCATAGAGCTTTAGAGCACAATATACAGAGAGTATAAAAAATTGCACTTACCAGAGATTCTTAAGGGGTTACATACCTTTTCATGTGTCAAAAAATCGATTTTTTTTATTGCTTATATCAAAAATACATACTCTCCAGAATGTTTTCCCAAAATTTCATCAAAATCGGAACATTAGAACCAAAGTTATTTATATATTATTATACTAACGAAATTTCCATTGTTTTATATACAAGTACATCGAAATATGTATTTATCGATAAAATAAACTTCGTTTAAAAAACTTTTTAAATAACGGCTAACAAATTTTTTGAAAATTCCTCCTTTTTGACGCGCATAAAGGTATATAACCCCTTAAGTAAATAGACGTAAACTATGCTATAAAGTAAGCTATATAGAAGTCCCAAGCGGTTTTAACTTGGCTCACAAGTGACGTGTATTTGGCCCCAAGTAAAAACTACATGTACTTTGCTCCAAGTTAAATTTGGGACTTCCATAGCTCTTACTTTAGCACAGTTTAGGTCTATTTACTTAAGAATCTCTGGTAAGCACAACTTTTTTCTCTCCGTGTATAGAGCGAAGCGAGTAAGATGTTTTGTAAAGTGTGTTGATTGTCGAGTGTATTAGTTGAAGATAAATAAATCTAAAGTTCTGTTTTCATATTTAATTGACTGTTTTTTCTAATAAAATTAGAATTTATCATAATATAAAAAAATCCAAAGAATTTAATCTTGGAGGAAAAATTACATAGAAATATGGGAGTTACACATGAGGCAAAATTTCTAAAGTGATGCAATTAAAAAAAATTTCTTAGATCGGGCCGCAATTTGAATAACATTTAGTACTATGGGTGAGTACTTGACTCACTTTGAAAATTTTGACCCATATATATTTTCATAAATAATGTTTCAAAGACGTTTCACTAAAGCAAAGCGGAAAAAATTAAAAGGATTTCACAGTCGAGGCTGTTCTCTTCTCGACAATCTAAAAAGTAATAGAAATTTGTGAAAGATAAAACTCGTTTTACTAAAATATAGTTGGAAACTTGAAACATTAGTAAACTAGTAAATAAAATTGAAAGAAAAATACGATGAAAATAAAGAAATTGAGCCGCAGCGTGCAATAACAGGTACGCTCCTCGGGCTGTGGGTCCCAACCGTAATATCTGACTGGATTCTGTCCTCCTCGACGCAACTCAAAGTAGATATTGCGGTAAGGATAGACAGTCCCCTGTTGTTATTGCACGCTGCGGCTCAATTAGGTAAAATAATAATATAACAATAAAAATAATGAAAAGTAAAAAATGATTTCTAAATCTCGAAGTGTTTGATATATAAGTATTCGTTTAATTTTTTAGATTTCAGGTTCGATTTCTAAAAATCTTACCTTCACGCAGTCAGTATAATTTTTGAGAAGAGAAGCGCACATCGACTCATTGTGATTGCCTTTAAGAAATTTTTCGGAGAACCATATATTGAAACACACTTCATATGTCTCTCTTAAATCTTTGCACACCTCCATCTTGAATTTATATTAAGAAAGATAAAGCTTTTTCAGGCTCTCTTTTAAATTACCTTGACACATTGTTGGTAGACTTTGAATAAGGGTTCACACATCGATTCATTGGTATCACCTTTGAGAAATTTGTCTGAAAACCAAGCATGAAAACAGGTGTCATACTCCTTTTTCAATTCAGTGCACGACTCACCGATGCTATTCATTGAAAGTTTTTACTTCTAAAACAAAAAAGTCAATTTCATTGCACAAAAGCTCAAATTATTGTTCCCTTTATTTTTAAAAAAGTGTGCTACAAAAAATTAGATAAAATTTAGGTGGGGCGTAAAAAGTTGAAAAATAAATACTTGTTAAAATTATAGTTTTCTTATAACTTTGTTCATTTTTTACTTAATATTGTGGTTCTTAAATAGAAAATTCTTCATTAGGAGGTAACGTGTTCTTGAAATTCATATTTCAACTAGGCAAGCTTTCTATTTCAATGGGCTAATTTAAATTGTTTATTTCGTCAGACGTTCGGCGAAATGAAAAATTGAAATACTTTAATAATTTAAAAACCCAATAACTCTTGTTTACTTTCTTAGGTGGCAGCACAATTTCCTTAATTTTCCATTCTCCGTAGCTGAACATTCTTTTCCATGTCGGTTTCATTAAAAAAAAGACTGAATTTTTATTGATATACAAAACAACAAAATATTAAGAAATAGGTTATGTTTTACCTTCAGAATATACAGGTGAATAACGATGTATTAATATGCAATCTTAAAACTTTTACTTTTGTATTAAAAATATTATACATTTCACATTCATTTGAAACAACTTTATATTTTAATCAATAATTCCATTAAATTTCAACATTTTTTTCATGCAAATGGTCTTTTCTCTTTCCCAAAAAATGACCTGGTGCCTGAAAAAGATCGAAACTCGAATTAAATCAAAACAGGTTGTTACGAGCCAAGTTGTATATTTAATTGCGCAAGCGCAATTTCACTCGTTATTTGTGGATTCAGCCTTAGTGTTAATCATTAAGATGAACCGGGAAAGTTTAAATAATAACACAATAGACCTTTTCATGCTGATCGTTCTGTTCTTATCTAGCGCATACAATGACGAATGAGTTGGAAGAGGACAGAATGATCAGCATGAAAAGGTAACGAATTAGTTAATTGTTTCGACTTCCAGATTAAAACCCAAGTTTTTATTAATTATAAAAGAGACAATTTACAAGGTTGACTTGGAGCGAACTCGACAAGTCGAAGGCAAGATAAGATCTGACGTAAAGCATAAAGTACAAGTAGTGGAGAAGCGCTCAGCTGTGAGTCCATGCGGCTTCTTTGCGCATGCTCTTTATATTTTCTTATTCTATGCTGTTTCCAGCAACACTGCACTGCACAACACTACGTATCTTATTTACTATACACTTTACTAATTATATATTTCAAGGTATATCTTATACATAATATTTATTATATTATAAATATTATAATTAACAATATAACATACTCATACGTATTAATGTAATAATTATTTATTATCTTGTTATTGTGTAAATAACACACACACACACACGATTATATATTTAATAATGTTTTATAGAGAAGATGATGATTTTTAATTTATATTTTTAATGTAAAAATATAGTTGATATAAAATATTTCTTTACAAATATTTTATCCTTTGTTTGATCGATACGTGACTTTTCTCGATTTAGCGAGTCTACATGTGTGTCTGGTTAACATGTGTTTGGTGTCCTGTAGAGAAAGGACCACAACTTTTTCAAGTGGATTTTTTATGATCTTTAAGGGTTCTTATTTCATGGTTGGGATTAAAGGAAAGTTAGAATCATATTTCCTTTTGCTATTTTACTTAATTTATGACTTTTCTTAGAAATGTTTATAGTTTTTGATTTGAGAATAAGACTTGAAAATACTTAAAGCGTGACGATATTATTTTACAATTAGTTTAACTTTTTATAGTTTCCTCAATTGCTAAATTTATGTGAGAATAAATTCTAGAATACAAAATATTAATTATTTAATATTTTGAATATTCATTATTTAGCGCGTAAATATCGTTAATTCGAGATATCGAAAAATTATTCGAGCGAGAATAGTCGCTCGTTACAAGGTTAATCGAAATAAATAAGGTAGTTTCACACCGTTTGATTTCCTGACAGGGTTGGATATGTAAGGGAAAGTATCAGCCAATAGACGTTCTACTCTTGAATGGTCTACCTGATAAGTACGAACCCTGTTGAAATTTCAATGATAGATAGCAATAGCAGCTTACTTCTCTCCGCGCCGCCATTTCTTTTGTGTTTTGGTTATGTTGAATATATAGTGTAGGCAATGTAAATACAAACAAAAAGTACAAAGTAGTGTGAAAAGATAAATAAATAAATTGTTAATAATAGTTCGTCCGAGGTGTAAAAAAGTACTATACAATGAGTTCCTCAGGAGAATGCACTGATGATGAAATGTCAACATCATTTAACGATAGTAATGCTAGAAAAGAAATCATGGGCAACGATAGTTTTAATACACTTTCACAAACAAAATCTAGTATTTTGGAGGAAACTCTGCCTCCCGGCGTTGCGCCCAAAGGGTTCGTTATCTTAGACGAGGATGTTACAATTATTGAACCATCTGACAAATCAAATTTATCACAAAGTTGCAAGCCTATTTTGAAAGTACTGTTTGAAAGCACAACAATCGCCAGGTAAATAACACTTAATCTCTATTATTGTTTTCTTTTCTTTTTTCAAATAATTTCAATTTGAAAATTATGAATTTTTTTCTTTATTTCACGATCACTATTCTTTTCACTTAAGAAAAAAAATCGAAAAAGCATTCAAAGTTAGCTTAAAAATGTCCAATGATTTACATTATTTTGGCCAACTTTGAATACTTTTCGATCTTTTTTTCTCAAACCTGCAATAAATTCGTATAAGCTTTCAAAGTTATATCATGTTTCTCTTTAATTTATTTACTTGTCACTGAAAATTTCAACAAGTTCGAAAAAGATATGAATTTTAATTAATTCATTATTATTTTCATTAAAAATTCGAAGTGCCTATTTCTACGCTAACGTAAGCTGATATTTCAAAACTAAACCTACGCGAAGTGACAGCAAAATGAAAAATTAACGTGAACCGATCTCCCAAAACTAAACCTACGCGAAATGAAAAAAGTTTCGAAAAGTGACACCCACCAACGAATTTCGCAAAATACTTTCGGTCATATCCACCCCCTCTCGCCAAGGTTTTTTTAAAAAGAAAAGCGAGCAGTACCTTACGCTTACGTTTACTATTTTGCATTCACATGTTTTTTACTACGCTAGTGTAATGATGAAGTGTATTTACACTTCGCGTAACTATAGTTTTGGAAATCAGTTTACGTTAGCGTAGGTATATAGCCAGCGTTAAAAATTAGATTAAAAAATAAATAAATTTTAAAAAACTATTTGATTAATTATAAAATGTTGTACAATATATTAATGCTTTTTAATTGAATTTTAATAGAATTTTTACAATATTTTGTTCACGAATTAATTCCACACAACCAGATAAAATGAATGTACACATTGAATTTGAAATCCGCGACTCAAAATACATCTAGAAAACCTGTCGAGAAATTAATTCAAAGTTTTCCTTTCGAACGGTACTGCGAACAAACATTAAATGACTATTTTCCCTTATGGTTTCACTCATGTCCGTCCACAAAACCATGACCCGCCCCTAAAACCTAGCCATTTTAACAGATTGAGCTCAAACTTAGTATACATACGTATTTTTGCGAGTAGATTAAACGAAAATTATAGCGAACCCGATTGGAATTGGATTGCATATAGTTATATTCGAAAAACTCGAAATTCCTCGAAATCTTAACTTTACCAATTTTTTAGCCAACCATCTCGAACTTTGTACTTATGCATATATTTACAAGCAAATTGAAAGAAAATTATAGGTTTTGTCCCTGGCTGTGTTTGAATTACCTGCCGTTCCCTCCCAAATCGCCTTCGTAGCTCCAAATTTTTTAGTTAATAGACATGAAATATTTAATAAAATAGCATTTTCACATGTATTTCGGCCCAGTATCTGGGAATCTCCTCCTTATCTAAATTTTATTGAAAAGGGAGGCTTCATTTTTCACTCAATTATATGGCAGATTCTTTAAAAACTCGTAAGGAATACCAGCAGGTCCCGATGATTTATAATTTTTACATTTTTCTAAACTTGCTAAATCCTCGTCAATTGTAATGTTGGAATCTAGATAAGGATTGCGTTCTTGGATTCTCAGAAGATTACATGTTAAATTGTTGCGCGATTGAAAAAAACCTGGAAATAGTCTTACCAATTATTTAAATCAATTACTTCTTCTTTGTTTATTTTAAGTCTATAATTTTTTATTAGTATTATGATTGGTCGAAAATTGACTTTTGTTAATTCCATGAAATCTTTACGTTTTGAGGTTGACTTAGTCGGAAAATCATGGTTTGACGATGGAGTCTGTCTGTAGGTCTGTGTCTGTGTACACAAATGTTGTTGACACAATAACTTTTTTAAAATTCAACAAATCAACTTACGCTTTAATACACATAAAATTAGTCTTTAAATAAAGGCTAAGTTCGTTAGCCAGCTATTTCCGACCAAAAATAAAAAACCTTAGCATTTTCAAAAATTTTTAATTTCATTTTTTTCAACCTCATATTTTTATACCTTAGTTAAATACAAACATTTTTTCTCTTTGATATTTTCCAATGAAAATTGAATTGAAAAAGTTACAGAACTTATATGTATTTAAAACTCTGTATTTTAACTCATGTTTGTATTTTGAAAACTTTTCATACCTAAAAATTATAATATATTGGTATTAATAAGATACCTTTATGAGTATACAAAGTTTTCCTGAATTGTACATAAAAATTTCCACCTTTAAATTGACTGCGGTTTTAGTTGTTTAGTAATAAATACTTTCATATTATGGGTACATTATTTTTGTATGTACACGGAAAAAAAAGTTCCGTACGAGTTCCCGAAATCGTTCCGAAAACGAGGATTTGTGCAAAAAAGCGTAATTATTACAGACCTTTTATTCGGAAAAAAGACGGAACTTTTGAAGTACACATTCCTGAATTATATGTAAAAATTCCGGAACTACACGGAGAGAAAAATATAGCGTTTGTAGCATGAAAGTTCTACCTTTAAACGCATGGGACATCAGCATACTACGATTGCAAGAAGTTATGCCTTTTCGGTATAGGTATAGTTTTATGCAACTGTAGTACAGTACAATTTCGGTAAGTATAAGGCCACGCCTCTTAAGCAGGAACGTCCATAAAAAATTAACATAGAGGGCTCCCATATCCATACCACAAACGTAATTTTTCTTTCCGTGTATGCAGTAATTTTTAGGAAACCATGGACCTAAAGATTTCAGATAGAAGTTCCGGTCGAGTAGGAGTAGATTTTACTGAATTAGTCGGTAGAAGATACGGTCGAGTACCGGAAAAATTCTGACGGCGAGACAAAAGAAAAAAAAGGAGGCATAAAGGAGACGCTTTTATTGTGTCGGTGTGAGTGAGACAGGAGTGAGGTGAACTCTGATTGGACGAGATAGTACATGGAGACACTTTCCTACCTACATATATTCTTACGCACACTTAAAACTATAACCTAACATAGTTTCGCTATATAGAGTGACTATACACCGCAGTGAGAAGAGAAACATTCTCATGCGAAAGTGAGAAACTTTTCTCCTCTATGAGTGAGTAAAATCAAGGTTGCCAACCTAGAAGACGTGTTGGTAAGGTAGGTATTTAACTTTTTCTTGAGAAACTATTCAATACCTACCTTACCAACACGTCTCCTAGGTTGGCAACCTTGATTTTACTCACTCATAGAGGAGAAAAGTTTCTCACTTTCGCATGATTATGTTTCTCTTCTCACTAACTCTAACTAACTCTTCTCATTAACTCGCACACTGGTAGATGGGATTTCGAAGATTTCGAGGATCAGTTTAATTTGCTAAGTAATTTTAATACATTATATCAAATAATTGATATAGTTTATTTTACATCGTTTGTAATTTATAATATATTTGAATTTTAAATCAACACAATTACATATGAGGAGCTGGAAAGCAGAACTCGCTCTCCGCTCGGATGGACTCCGTAGAGCCAGTCAAACATTCGAAAAAGTGATGAAAATTGAAATTCAAAATTTTGAATTTTGAAAAGTACTACATTATAGGAAATTAAAAGGCGTATCTTTTTTTCCTTTGAAATTTTTTTATAAAACGAATATTTTAGTTTCTAGAGACCAAAAACTAAGAAATTTAAATTGTTAAATTTAATTAAGTTTTAAAACAAAATCATCGTATCTCCGACAATTATTAATGAATTTGATTCAAATTTGAGATGTACACGTAATAGGGTCTACTAAAGGCAACAAAATAATAAAAAATTAAAAAATCATTAATTGTTTAAATTTTTTTTAATAAAAATTGTGACCAGTTGATAATAACGTTTTCTTACTTTCATAGACAAAAAGTCTGCGGGGAACTTTGTAGTTCAGAAAACTTCCAGTGAGACATTTGTTTATCACTATATAAGGAAGTTTTCTGTAAAATATTAAACCAATTCATTGAAAACTTTAAAAATTATTCAAGTTTTAAGAAAGCGCGGTCGACGCGCAAGTAAGTCCTAACGCTACTCGTACAGACAGCTGTTCCGTGCATGAAATATAATTAGATTTTCACATTTAAGTATAAATTTCTTTATTATTATTATTATTGCCTATTCAGAATTAAAGTTTGTTGACAATTAATACTACAATGTTCAATTCTGTAATTACCATGTTATTTTATTGAACAAATATAATTTACAATTTTTTTGTCATTTTGAATAAATGGAAAATTATATGTATTTTAAAAATGATGCTAATAATAATTTTTTTTGTTATTATTTATTAACAAACAGTTCAACAGTTTCTTTGTATATACATTGTTAATGTTAAATTTTTTTATTACCTTATATTTACTAATTTTTTTCAATTTTTTTTTTATTATTTCACTTTTTGGTCTCTAGAAACTAAAATATTCGTTTTATAAAAAAATTTCAAAGGAAAAAAAGATGCGCCTTTTAATTTCCTATAATGTAGTACTTTTCAAAATTCAAAATTTTGAATTTCAATTTTCATCACTTTTTCGAATGTTTGACTGGCTCTACGGAGTCCATCCGAGCGGAGAGCGAGTTCTGCTTTCCAGCTCCTCATATGTGTATAATTCGAGTCATTGGTTTGATACGTATGTGAATTAATTTTCTTAAAAATAAATGACATGCTTTTTCTATTTAAAAACTATCCTCGTTAAAATTAGTAGTAATTATAGCATATTTATCCTATTTTACAAATTTTTACAAGTGCATTTTTAGTTTTATTTATTAATTTATTTATTTGAGAACCTCAAAACAATTTTGTGAAACACCTGCAAAACTAGGTGTTCATTTCATGACCATTTAGCTTCCTCATCATAATACACTTATACATATTCAAGATTAAAAGTAGGATTTCAACTAAAATAGCGATCAATTTTATTATTATTGTTAAAAAGTAAACTATACAGTAAGAAAAGCACAAGTGTAGTCATAGGAAAGCATGCGTTACGCATAAGTCTGTCTCACTCGCAATCATGGGCTGTGACTACACGGAGAGAAAAATC